GGTGGGGTACATTAACTGTATATGTAAGGTGCGGTACAGATTGTGTTTTAATGTTCTGAACCAGTCAAATCATTTGCTATTTGCATCTGATACTTTATGTTTTATTTCTTTGTTTAAATGTAATATTATAATATAAATAACCAATTTGATCATGTGATATGTACTCATTTGATGGAAAAATAGTATAGATAGTATAAACTATAGGCTACTGATCTAATTTTCTTCCCTTTGTAAAAAGACTTGCAGATGCCAGCCGGTGTTTAATGAAGCAGTTATTGATCCGAAATGATTGTGTGACCATAGAACTGCTACCCAAAGGTTTTAGATTAGATTCGATTAAACTTTATTGTCATTGTACAAAGTACAAGTACTAGACAACGAAATACAGTTAAGCATCTAACCAGAAGTGCAAAGCAGTAAAGTGCAGAGTAATGTGCATATGTACAGGGATATATTTAAAAAAATAACATTATAGATATATATATGAATATACTAGCAGGATATTTACAATATGAACAGAATAAACGGAGTGAAGTGAATACACTAAAATATATACAGCTATTAAGAAAGAAAAGGTATGTGAATCTTTGTTCAATCAACAAAGTTTTGTGCACAAGCTAGTGTTTAAAGAGTATCATTTTAATAATATAATAGGGCTGGAACACTTAGCTAATGAAGCTGAAAGTCTTGCTCACTCACTTCCTCGGAAAAAGTTTGTTTGATTTTCCATCTGTGCAAATCTGTCTTTCCTGAACTCCTGAGATCAAACAAAACAAATTCAGCTTTGTGACCGCCTGTCTCAGGTACCTGGTGGTGTATTCAGAAAGCTTCTTTGTTCATAGTAATGTTTGCCCCAGTTTCACAGCTGGCACATCTGTTCATATTCAAAGTAGATCTCACCAGGAACTATATGGGCTCTTCTCTTTGTTTACTTTGACTTTATGCTCTCTAAACTCAATTCTGTGTCTGATGTCTGTAGGATGCATGAGGCTCGGGGTGGGGGGGAAACACACTTCCTTTCATTTTCTTCCAGCACCTAGTACTCTGACAATGGGTTAGCCCAGCTGTGGGTGGACGACAAGGCGACCATCAAGAGATTCATCCAAACTGGGACCAAGAGCAGGATTTGGTAGGATTACTAAAGTCCATGTGCGGGACTACATCCTCCCTGGTGTTGAGATCAAACGCTATATGGATGACGAACATTTCTCCAGGCAATGTATTCAACTGGGGACACCTGGACTATAAAATAACAGGGCAGGTTTTGGAGTCTGAAGTTATGTAACAGGGTGTAAAACAGCAAATGAATCACAAGTCCCCACATTTGCAGCATTCACTGTATTGAGCATGTGTTATGTTCTCTAGAGATTATTTAAATGTCTTCAGACACATAAAATTGTAACTTTTTAAAACATAAACCATTATTCTCAAACACCTAGTAACAGGGACTTAGAAAATACACATTAACAAAGGGACCAAAACCAAGATTTAGAAAATATGTTTAATCCTTTAAAATCAGACATGGAAACAATCACCACCACATAACTGAAACATGGCAGGAGGGACAGGCAGCACATATTGCATGAGAAGGCATTTCCGTGACTCCTATGTACATATACACATTTTATACACAGTAAAAATATAGTAATTGAAGCATATAGGACAACCAGCAACGTTGGCTCGCGAGCCGTGTGAAACATTCATGTAGAAAAAGCGTGGGAGATTAACAACCCAGAATCATCATGGAGAGAATCTATCATATCATAATCTAAACATGAAATATAAAAAGTGAAATTGTCACATTGTCCCCCTTCATAAGCAATACACGCTATAAAGTTTCAGACATCCTTCTGTCAGTATACGTACAATCATCTAAAAGGTACATAATACAACTTCTATCATTTCAGCCTGCAGCAATCAACCATGTTAATAAATATACTTCTTAGAGCTGAAGGGTGGCAGATTGTGGTTCATATTGCATTACTTCAACTATATTGTAGTGTCTACACTGAGTGCGCCGCCCTTTAAGCACCGAAGGATGATGTTTCTGTTTGTGCCATGGTGTAGTACATAACAACTGTGACAGAACTGGTCTGTATCCAGCAATTACACAGTACCACCCATTAAAAAGAAAAGGAAAAAAAGAAAAACACAAAATGCAGGTGTTACAAAACAATCTGAATTTTTCTAATGAGGAAGAATTTCTTGGAGTGTTTTCTTTGGTGGCTGTTTGACTCTCAACCAACTTGACACAACTTTAAAATTGATCTTTTTTGACATAATCAATATTTTACATGTCAGCATTATACCAGAAATAATTCATATCAAGTACATCATTTCAACTACACAAATAATGGGTTCTAAGAGCTACCACAATTTGTAGTAAATTGAACTCGGATTTCACAGGAATGTGGAGTTAAATCTTGAAATGTCTCAGGCCACAATGTAAACCAATTCTTTTGATAAATAAAAAATAAATCTTTACAGGGACTAGGTCAGATACAGCTTATCAGACGTGAAATTACCTAGCAAACATCCAGTTTAATAATAGATCCTTAAAAACACAGGTCAACCCAGTGTTATTACCATATACAACGTCAGTCCAGGAGTGTTTCATTTCATTTTCATGTTAACTGTACTGGATCTTGCACACTCACAGAAACTCCCAACTCTTTTCTTTGGTGCTGTGACTGGCTTATAATACAGAAGACTCAGTCCTAAATTCTCAACTGTGCATTGATGAACATGAGTAGTTTTCCTTCTTTCGATATTTACAACTCACATTTCCCCTTCTCCCTCTCTGCTGCATAGACCACATGTGCCTAACAATAAACAGTAATTCCTTAGGTGAGATGATGTCTAAGATCTTGGGTTTTGCTACAGCCACTTGGTAGTGATTCAAATTTCTGTATCAGAAATATTTCATGGGGTAAAGACCCTCTCTGCCAGCCACCTCAGTAGCTTGTTTAGTGCCCTAAACAATCCGATAAAAACAACAAAGCACAATTTTTATGAACAGCCGAGTAAAAGCTGAGTAAAAAAAAATTAGTAATACACACGGTTAGTAATATTGGTCCAAGAGTGGATGTGGGGGCGGGTGTCATTTCTGTAACCAGCAGAAATGTTTAATAAGAGACTAACATCCTTACTGTCTGATGTCGGAAGAGTTAAAAGGATTAGCTGAGCTGATGAATCACAGTGACTGAATATTGGACACACAGAACCAAGAAGGGATTGTACTAGTGTTCTCTGAAATCTGAAATTCTTTTAACCCCTAACAACTGACGGTTGTTCCAGACATACAAATGGCAGTTTTGATGACTTCAGCTGTAGTGATAAGGCAGGTTTCTCTGTGTGACTACAACACTAACCTGTAAAAAAAAATGTCAGTTACGTATCACATGTCAGGGACAAACATGTAAAGGCACAGACATGACAGACACATGACAGTAGCTGGGAGTTATTACTGTTCTATTAGCTCAACAGTATGACTTCATTTAACAGCATCTACTGGCCAGCAATGCTGTGGACAGCTCTTCTTCTCTGTATTCATTTATACTTTAGCACATATGGTCACATCAGAGGGGGAGATTTTTTAGGGTTGTACAAATGTGGTCTGCCATGTTAGTAAGACACATTCTATAGAAGAAAAACATTGCAATGTACATTCAGTAGTGGCAAGATCTGGCTGGACCTTTGCAGCACCACTGTGGTTTCCAGCTGAATAACTTAAAACAAAAATGTGGGAAAAAAAAAAAAAAAAGACTGTGGGTGTTTCAACCCATCCTTCCACTATTTCAAAATCCAATTTCAAACAAATACTGTACATCCACAATCAGTAAAAAGAAATGTATACATGATTGCAGAGTCGACAGCAGCATGAGTTGATTTAAATGATGACCACTTCAGAGTGCCCCTGCTCAAGAGAAGGGGAAAAGGATGTGCGGTAATGGGAACATTAGTGTGAATCACGGAAATGTGAACCCACTTAGACTGTGCATGAACACAGGGAAATATTCACTCCTACAAATGCAGGCGGCTATGCCCTTCATGTGCTCTTAGGTGTGTGTGTGTGTGTGTTCCTGCTGAACTGCTGTCTGTGCCATCTCACATCGCTTCATGCTGAGTAAAGTGGACACGATGGCCAAGTCTTCGTGGATAATTTGACTGCCTTCACCATCCACTGGTGACTGGGGCATGGGCTTTTTACAATATACAACTAATTATTGTGTTTATTATGTCGGTGCAGCAGAATCTCTTTGTTTAATCAATGTAAATCTGCTACTGAAGAGCTGCCCATTCAGGGTCATAAGCCTTTTTTCCAGGTTTATATGAAAGACAATTGGCCTTTAGACATTGGGGGGGGGAAATGTGTGCGCACAGTGACAGTGGCTGGGGAAGCCTACCACACACCGTCTTCTTCTTGATCTTCCCACCACTGTTTTCTTCATTGCCACAACCTCCACTGCACCTCACTGCTTCATCCAGCAATCCCTGTATATACTGTACGGGGGAGAAAACAAGAGGTGCAGTGGATAGTGGATGGTGGATGGGTGACTTTCGCTCTCTTTATCCTTTCTTCTGCCTGCCTCACCTCATCCAGAAACGTCCTCGCCTTTAGATGGCACTGGTTTGTTTTTACTGTGAAGATGAAATTACTGTCAATACCAAGATTATGAGGGGAATAAGGAATAACAACTAACGGCTGCTTCAATATTGATGGTAATAATCTTCCGTTACAGATAATTTCATTGTTTAAACTTACAAAGCAAATGTTGGTTTCAGGGATGATGTCTGAGAGGGAAACTACATCTTCATTTCCAGACAGGTTGCCTGAACGATCCCCTTCTGCCCCAAAACTAAAAACAGAGAAAAGGCAATTAATACAACAAAATGCAAACCAACGCAACAGGAATATAAATACATCTATTATTCAGTACGATGAGGCTGTGATTTTTTTAATGACTTCTCTACCTGTGAGAAGAACCCTGGTCAAGGTCTGTGTTTGCTGATTTGTGCACTTCCACCCCTACAGACCTACAGAGAAAAGTCAGAGCAAAGAAAATTAAAAACCAGTGTGTGAAAATGAGATGGAAGAATAAAGGTCATGCATTGTTATCCTGGTGAGGTTTACCGTAGGGGAGGAGAGGTGGAGGCAACTCCTGCGCTGCCTAGTGATGAGGTGGACAGGTTGGCCTCACAGTCAGCAGGGTTTTCTAACAGCGGAGGGGTCCTCGGAACAAGATCTGGTCTGCCCGACTGCATGCCTGAAAACAATAAGAAATCAAATTACTGTAAATCTCAACGCCAGTATCGTCTAAATGGAGCACAACTATGAGTGAAATTGTGGTTGTTGATATAATTAACAATAGAACTGCTTAATGTTATCACTTTGCTTGTGATGTCTCAGTTCTTACCGCTGTCTGCCTCTGAGTCTGTGCTTTTAAAGTGGCTGTGGTAGACTAATCTGGAGTCAACGCCTGACTGTCCTGTTGCGTGGGAGAGCGGGGTGGGAGCTCCCAGAGTGGGAGCCCTCCTAAGACCTCCCTGACCTCCGCCACGACTCTTCTTAGACGGTGATGGTTTTACTGAAGAAGATGGAGGACATAAAAGGGGATGTGATCAATAAGGGCACCTAGACTTCTCACCACTGGGACAGGCTATTAATTTAAAAACACAAAAATAAGCATACTTACGTGGAATTTTCTTGAACACAGTGTTGCACATGAATTGCTGGAAACGATCTGCATAGAAGCCAGGTCTGTGAACTGAAACTGTGTCCTAAAATAGTAAAACAGCAACAGAACCATTATGACCTGATAGATACTACAGCACTCACGTCTATATGCAATCACAACTGTCCTACAAACAGCAGTACCTACAACTTTTAGTTCAACATTGTTTTAATTATTGATTAATTTGCCATTTATTTAAAAAATAAAAAAATAAAAAATATTAATTTAAGACCATATCCATACTGGCAAAAAGGAAAAAAAAAAAAAAAAAAGGTAAGAGTATGAAGGAAATCCATTTAAAAGCGAGACTGAAAAATGCCACTTTATACAAATAACGTTAACTTCATTAATCCAATAAATTTTTAAGACCTGTCAAAATCATATTGATTATTGGATTATTGGATTTACGACCCTGCTTCACTGCTGAAGGATATTTTCCTTGGCTTCAGAGAACATTTAGTATGTAGGCTCTTACCCCATCGTGGACCAAGGCCTTCCAGGAGTGCTCCAACTTCTTAATAAACCTAAATAATAAAACACAATAAAACTTTTACTGCAGGTTATATAAATGGGAGTGGGAATAGGTGGTAAGCTCTTTCATAAGAACGAATGTTTATATGAGGAACTGATTAGGCTGCTCTCAGACACCGACCTGTAGGACTGAAGAATGTCAATGATGCCGATGTAGATCAGCAACCTTTCTCCTTTAGAATTACGAGATGGAATACCGCCCATGCTGAAGGACAAAGCCAGAGAAACAACAGTAGATCACTTCATCGTCCCAGTCACAGACTGCATTACAAGCCAACACCAGTTCAAATTCAGCTCTGCTTGTGGTCAGATAGGCAATAAAACTCACTGGTCTTCTGAATCCAAAGCCCCCTTCCCTCGAGCCTCCCCCTGAATGGACTCCATGGCTGTACAGTACAGACTTCTCTGGGCTTGTGGCCGGCGCTGATCTGGGGTCACTGCTCCCTCCGACCCCCCGCTGTCCCCCGAATTGCCCACACCACGCTCCCGCTCTCGACTGGCCTGGTCCATGTTGTGTATGCCCATCAACAGACTGTAATCCATGATCTTGAAACTCTGCAAGAGCTACATAAAACATACAAAACAAATATACAAAATGTGTTGACATGACCATCAATAGAAATAGTCTCTTAAAATATACAATTCCACAGGCAGTTCCACGGACTCACAGCAACGTTCTGCTTTATTTGATGGTTGGCGGTGGACCGGGAAAGAGAGATTTGAAGGTACAACTCTAGAAAAACTGCAGCAAACTTTACCACTAAAAATATTCACAATATTTTGCACAATATGTGACTGTCTCAAACTAGATGCCACATCATTAATGAGTTTTTTGTTTGTTTGTTAAATTTCTTTTCTAAGATAAAGTTAAATAATTTTGTTTTATATATCCGTGCGGTGGAGGCAGTAAACCTCCTAAAAGTATTGAATTAACACTGTACAGAAATGTTGTTAAGTCCACTAGGATTCACCCCAGTGAAACATTTTCATATCTTACACATAGCGGCTATAAGTAATCCAATCATTTTCATAATCATGTAGACAAAGCTGCTAAATATACAACAAAATTCAGGTGAGATACACACAAGCAACACCAACAGCCAATCGGGCAGCAATGGTAATTGAGATCCCGGAGAAAATAATATATGAGTGGTGGTAAATCGATTTGCAGTACATTACCGCCACATGAACTTAAACATGCTGGAAAAGCAAAGCAACAGTGGCCAAAGCAACCACACAGACGGATTAGCATCTAATGGAAAGAGACATTTTCATGAATAAATTATGTGTAGCCTCTGTCATATAAATTGTTTGGCTTTGTTCGTCTGATAAACCACCACACACAACATAATAACATCCTGTGTTAACTGCAATGATAAATACCACCAGTCTCTTCCATCATTTGAAAACGTATCCGTACGCCTTAAAGTAAACAAAGTATTAGTTTTCAGTGTCATGTCAGCTTGAGTCATCTCTTCAACACTTGACTGTTGATCCTTCAACTGTTGGCAGTGGTGGTGATAAACTTGAAGCAACAAACAACAACTCTGTCTACAAACACTCAACGATTGCTACAGGAGAAACTTTAATATATATAGATGCCTCTTTAAAAAAAAAACAGCAAGCTTAGCAGTCAGGGTCTAAACTTTACAAAATGGGTAAATTTGGGTTTGGGGGAAAAATTAATTGGGAGTCAAATAATCTGGAATCACAGCACAGAGCTAGGTTTATGTGTACTGATTAATGTGATCCACTGTGTCGGCAGGGAATCAGATCAAAGCTTACTAACTATTTGGTGCTGTCCACACAATGGTATACGTTTCTGCCCTTAGAAACATCTTTTATGTGAGGAAAATTGCATTCTGCTGCTGTGCCATCTGAGCTTGTGAATTTTAGTCCACTTGCATATTGTAACAATTCACATGAATGTGTTGTGTAATTCCATGTGGGCTGAGAGGCTTGAAAACACGATACTTGAATAGAAATCAGTCAATGAAAAACAAGTGTCTCTGTGACTCACCAAGCAGTCCCTCTGTATAGTCTTGCACAGGGCATTGTAGTTGTCTGCTTCCAGCAGCAGGCCATCAGGCATGTCCTGAATAAAGTCTAGGTCTTTGTGAGTGGGAACAGCCTTGTCTCTCTCCTTAGCGGAAGCTCGTCTCTTATAGGTGGAGCCCTTCAGGTCGTATTTAATGTGCATGGGGATGATCCGAGGCAGAAGATTGTTCATCACTACAATACGGATATTCTTGCCCCCTGCCTGAACACAATATAGTCCGTAGAACTTGGGTAACAGAGTGCGTTTGTTTTGGTTTATATTCTGCAAGAAACAAGGAATGTGGAAAACACATTAGATATGCAACACACTGAAATTAGAAAGAAATGATTAGAGCTCCCACTCATTCAAGCCTCCTGCTCTCATGGTAATTATAGTTATTGCAATAACAATCACTCAAACTGAACACACTCCCACTTTCCGTTATATTCAGTGGCCAGGCTCACCATGAAGTATCCAGGCAGGAGTTTCTGGAGGAACTCTGCCTCTTTGTGTTGAACAGTCTTGATGATGAACTCGTCATCACTAGAGACATAGAAGATGGATCCGCTGGCTCCGGGGTTAGACAGCTCGATCAGTGGCTCGTTACACAGAGAATACTTCAACAAGAAGAGGAGACTGCGTTAGTATCCAATTTAAAGAGAGCAAACATGTCGGCATATCTAGAACTCTAATTTAACTAAACCCGTGGCTCTTCTTGGGGGTTCGAAAACCGCTGTGGCGTTGCGAGGCTGGTGCAAAAATAAGTTAATAGGAAATAAAAGCATACAGATACTTTTGAGATCAATATTTTTAAGAATACTACCTATAGGTCCCTTGATAGAAACAACAGACTTTTGACACTGAATCCTCTGTTGGACTACAGAGATATGGAGTGATTTCTAATCAGTGAGAGCATGAAATTCCAAACTGCTGTCATTGAAACACAGCCAGTAGAAAAAGAGGGGAATAAAAACTTCACTCAGACCTATGATGGCAGGTATCGACAACGGCAGTGTCAACAAGTCGTTTTTGAAATGAAAACTACAGGAGCTACATGGTCCAAAATCAGTTTTGAGAAAGCCCTTCATGACTCCCTCATCATTTCTCTTTGCCAAAACTGGGAAGCCTCACAAATTAGATGACACGCTTCTTCCTCAAAAAAGGGGGCACAGGTTAACATCACTGAACTAAACCATTCTACAAAATAAATAAATACAGCAACAATGATTAAAGCCATAACAAGGGCAATTCTTGTAAACATGGGAGTGTGTGTTTGGTGTGAGTCCTAACCAGGTAGTCATCTGGCCGAATGCCAAAGAGTTCCCTGAAGTAACGGAAGGCAATAGGAGCGTAGGTCTTAAAGCGAAAGTCACTGTAGTGATGAGCGGGAGTCAGGTTACTGCCTTCACTGGAAAACATGAGAGAGAGAGAGAGAGA